CCCGGGGAACTGCCTACTCACAAAGGGGCCTCAAGCTGATGTTGGGGACGAAGGCAGCGAGCCAAGTTGCAGACATACAATGAATGAGCAGCTGATTAGGGTTTTGGCAGCAAAGGATTTAAAAATAGAAGAGGCAAACAGCTGTAATTAATTAGCTGGATTGGCAGCGGGGAGGGAGGGCCAGGGGGACGGGGACGACTGTCCGAAAACACACGCCGGAAGGGAAGGGGGGGGAAAAATCCTCCTGTGGTTGTTTTTTGTTACGGATTTCTGACTAGTTTGAAATGCTTGCACCTCTGCGTTTCGGCAGGGTTGCGGTGGGCAAATCAGAGGAATGCCTGTCACACAGCGCCATTTCAAGAGAAAGGATACACTCACTCTCGAGGCATGCGGGAAAAGACGCAGATTATATGGATAATTTGCAAATGTGCAAACGGCAGCCAGCATAAAATGCTGGGTTTTGAATGTCGGGAGGGAGGGAGGGAGGAGGGAGGGAGGGAGGAAAGAAAGAAAGAAAGAAAAAAGAAAGAGAGAGAGAGAGGGAGGGAGGGAGAGAGAGAGAGAGAGAGAGAAGGAGGGGGAGGGAGGGAGGGAGGGAAGGAAGAAAGAAAGAAAGGGAGGGAGGGAGGAAGGGAGGAAGGGAGGGAGGGAGGAAAGAAAGAAAGAAAAAAGAAAGAGAGAGAGAGAGGGAGGGAGAGAGAGAGAGAGAGAGAAGGAGGGAGGGAGGGAAGAAAGAAAGGGAGGGAGGGAGGGAGGGAGGAAAGGAAGGAAGGAACAGAGAGATAAGAGCAAGAAGGGAGGGAGGGAAGGAAGGAAGGGATGAGAGAAAGAATGGAAAGGAGGGAGGAAGGGATAGGGGAAGGTAATAGGAGGGAGGGAGGAAGAGATGAGATTGAGGAAGGAAAGGAGGGAGGAATGGATGGGGAAGGTAATGGGAGGGAGGGAGGGATATGAGAAAGGAAGGGATGAGATTGAGGAAGGAAAGGAGGGAGGGACGAATGGATGGGGAAGGTAATGGGAGGGAGGGAGGGATATGAGAAAGAAAGGGATGAGAGAAAGGAAAGAAAGGAGGGAGGAAGGAAGGGATAGGGGATGGTAATAGGAGGGAGGGAGGGATGAAAGGAAGGAATGGAGAGATAAGAGGAAGGAAGGAGGGAGGGAGGGAGGGAAGGGATGAGAGAAAGAATGGAAAGGAGGGAGGAAGGGATGGGGAAGGAATGGGAGGGAGGGAGGAAGGGATATGAGAAAGGAAGGGATGAGAGAAAGGAAAGAAAGGAGGGAGGGAGGGATAGGGGAAGGTAATAGGAGGGAGGGAGGGAGGAAGGGATATGAGAAAGGAAGGGTTGAGAAAGGAAGAGCTGAGAAGAAGGGAGGAAAGGAGGGAGGGAGGAAAAGGACAAATGAAGAAAGGAGAGAAAGAAAAATAAAGAGGCGGGAGGGAGGGATGGGGGATAAGAGAATGAAAGAAAAAGGGAGGGAGGGAGGGAAGGAGAAAGGGACAAATAAAGAAAGAAAAATATAGAGGAGGGAGGAGGGAAAAGAGAATAAAAGAAAAAAAGGGAGGGAGGGAGGGAATAAAAGAAAAAGCAAGAAGGAGGGAGGGAGGGAGGAAAGAAAGAATGAAAAAACAAAATATCTGGCCTACCCTGGAGATTTTATCCTCTCCAGACCTCTTTCTATTCCTTAAGATAATCTAGAGAAGGTCCCAGAGACTCTCAAAACAGGCCTGTGTATCTCTCAACCTTGCTAAACGACAAGGCCCATTATGCCTTGCCGCGGCCCATGCTGGCTTGGCTGTGGGAGATGGGTTCAAGAACACCCAACTGCTCAGAGCCAGAGAGGCTGCTGTTTTGCTGCGGTCAACAGTTTACTTTAGCTGCATCTGGAGAGATAAGCAGAGTGGATGGAGTGTGCTTCGTTTTGGGGGGGGGTTGGACCAGGAAATTGGGGGGGGACCCCCCTTTTTTTACCATTGAGATGGAGATGCCGTGTTATCGCCGGCAGCTGGGCTGAATCGAAGGAGCGGCGGTGTGTTTTTTTGTAATTGTAGGCGTGAAAAACTGAAGTTCAGGGCAAGAAAGAAAATTAAGCCCTTTGAGAGGCTGCATTTGGGCCTCCAGAGACAGCTGCAAAAATAAATAAAAGGGGTTCAGTCGGAGGACTTGAGCCCAAGGCCCTTCCTTCCCCAACAGAACCGGTCTCCAAGGGGCTGAACGCAAGAGCGGCCTTGGCTACGCTTTGATGGGAGAGAGAGTGAGAAAAACAGCCCTGGGGCTTCGGAAAACATGAGTGAGGGCAAGGGTGAAATCCAGCAGGTTCTGACAGGTTCTGACGAACAGGTAGCGGAAATTTTGAGCAGTTCGGAGAACCGGCAAATGCCACCTCTGGCTGGCCCGAGTGGGGTGGGAATGGGATTTTGCTGCCTTCCCCTGGAGTGGGAGGAATGGGGATTTTGCAGTATCCTTCCCCTAGGAGTGGGGAGGGAATGGGGATTTTGCAGTATCCTTCCCCTGGAGTGGGGAGGGAATGGGGATTTTGCTGTATCCTTCCCCTGGAGTGGGGAGGGAATGGGGATTTTGCAGTATCCTTCCCCTAGGAGTGGGGTGGGAATGGGGATTTTGCAGTATCCTTTCCGCAGGAGTGGGGAGGAATGGTGATTTTGCAGTATCCTTCCCCTGGAGTGGGTGGGAATGGGGATTTTGCAGTATCCTTTCCGCAGGAGTGGGAGGGAATGGGGATTTTGCAGTATCCTTCCCCTAGGAGTGGGGTGGGAATGGGGATTTTGCAGTATCCTTTCCACAGGAGTGGGGTGGGAATGGGATTTTGCAGTATCCTTTCCGCAGGAGTGGGGAGGGAATGGGGATTTTGCTGTATCCTTCCCCCAGGAGTGGGGTGGGAATGGGGATTTTGCCATATCCTTCCCTCAGGAGTGGGGTGGGAATGGGGATTTTGCAGTATCCTTCCCCCAGGAGTGGGGAGGGAATGGAGATTTTGCAGTATCCTTCCCCTGCCACGCCCACCAAGCCACACCCACAGAACCGGTAGTAAAAAAAATTAGATTTCACCACTGGGCAAGAGGTGTGTGTGTGACTTTCCCATTCCTCCTGTCCTGCAAAGTAGCTGAGTTTAACTATAAATGCAAAGATTTATTCCTTTCATTAAAAGCTTCTTCAATTTCCCTCCGATTCCCACCCCCCCCCCCATTTGCAAGCCCCATCGTGGGAATATATTTTATGTGCATAATTATGCGCAGAGCCCAGGAGGCGAAGCAATGGGAAGCCGTCGGAAGAAAAGCTAGAACCTGGAGGGGATTTGAGGACGGGGAGGTCGAGCTCACTTATAGAAAGGGGGGAGGGGCAAAATCGAAGCTTCCTTCAGGCCCCCCTCCCTAAAGTCTCCCTGTCTCCCATTGGCCTTTAAGGGGATGCTGGAGAACGGAGCAGCAAAAGAAACTGAGAAGTTTCTCTCGCTTAGCATGGGATCTTCTGCAAAAAAAAAAAAGAGGACTTTTGCTTGTACGGATTTTCCTCCACTTACGACCTTCCATTTAATGACTATTCAAAGTTACGACGGTGCGGGGAAAAAGGAGACTTTAGGACCGATCCTTGCACTTACGACGTCCCTGCGGCCCACATGGCCATCAAAATTCAGGAGCTTGGCATCGGAGAGGCGTTCATGACGGTGGCGGTAGAGTCGGGAATCGGGAGAGCTCCGTTTCCAGCCCCCCCCGAACAAGCCGTGATAAGGGAAGCCTGGTTCTCTCAACGACAGCATGCTTCGCTTAACGACTGCAGCAGCAAGGTCATAAAATTACTTAACAACTGCGTATAACTCACAGGTGGGCTTCACATACTGGAGCAGCCATTTCGGCCAGTATCGGAAATGTGAGCAGCATCCGCGCATGCGTGCAGTGTCACAAAACAAGGCAATTCGCTTGCGCGTGCCATCCACACATACATGCGACACAGTGGTGAAATCTAAAATTTGTTACTACTGGTTTTCTGGGCGTGGCTTGGTGGGGGGGTAATGTGACTGGGTGGGCATGGCCAACTTTTTTTTTTTTAACTTTTAAAACCATTTTGCTTTTAAAAGCCTCTGACGATCCCAGCTGAGTTACAGGATCATCAGAGGCTTTTTTTCTTTTAAAAGCCTCTGACGATCCCAGCTGAGTTACAGGATCATCAGAGGCTTTTTTTCTTTTAAAAGCCTCTGACGATCCCAGCTGGGTTGCCAGATCGTCAGAGGCTTTTAAAAGCATTTTTTCTACAACCTCTTCGGCGAAGAGGTTGTAAAAAAAGGCTTTCAAAAGCCTCTGACGATCCCAGCTGAGTTGCCTGATCGTCAGAGACTTTTTTTCTTTTAAATGCCTCTGCCGATCAGGCAACTCAGCTTGGATTGTCAGAGGCATTTAAAAGAAGAAAAGCCTCTGAGGATCACGCGGCTCAGCTGGGCATGCGGGGGGGCAGGGATTTTTGCTACTGGTTCTCCGAACCACCCACCTCCATCGCTACCGGTTCGGGCGATCCGGTCCGAACCGGGAGCATTTCATCTCTGATGCGACATCAAAAACACAGTGATATAGGACGGGATTTCGCCTGGATGGGTACCCACTACCAGTTAGCCCAAACCAGTCTGAACCTGAACACCGGCTGAATACCACTTCTGGTATAAATGTCATAAAATGAATGAACGAATTGCTTAGCCACGGAATTTCTGGCCCCAATTATAGTCGTAAGATGAGGACTACCTGTAAGCTGCAGCTCTCTCTCCGCCCCCCCCCCTCTCTTCTTGAAAGGCTGCCCCTAAGAGGAGGGGGTCCACTTGTTTTCCCAAAGCACCAGAAGGCAAGACAAGAAACACCGGATGGAAACTAATCAAGGAGAGAAGCAACCTGGAACGAAGGAGAAACTTCCTAACAGTGAGGACAATTAACCCGTGGAACAGCTTGCCACCGGAAATTGTGAGGGTGCTTTCATCACTGGAGGCTTTTAAGAAAAGACTGGACAGTCACTTGTCTGAAATGGTGTAGGGTCTCCTGCTTCAGCTAGAAGACCTCCAAAGGTCCCTTCCTGCTCTATTCTGATTAATTGATTGAGCTGAGAGAGCCAGGTCCCCTGGAAGGGGGGAAACCCATTCGGAGGACCTGCTCCTGCTGCCTCACACTAGCTACCGATCCCCCTCCCCGTCCCCTCCAGCCCATTCTTCGGCAGGCTGTCGCCTTGGCAGCTGCAGCGCTGGGACCTTCCTTTTGCTCAAAATGCATTAATTTGTAAATATCTTCATTTATATGTAAATGTGGACTCCTTATCCCCCACGTCTCTCTCTCTCTCTCTCTCTCTCTCTCTCTCTCGCCAATCAAGCAGCGACAGCAGGAGCTGCGTCTGCCGACAACTCGGGTGGCCACGGTGGGCTGCGATGAGTCATGGTCCTTTCTGCCGAGGAGCTCGCCTTCCAACCCCCCCCTTCCCCGTTTCTGCCCTTTTCTCTCCCCTAACCCTGGTTTCCCCACACCGTGTGTTAATTCTTATTTCCTACGTTTCTTTTCCTTCTGAACAGAGCTTCCTGGTCCTTCTGCTCAGGACGTGATTGGTTGCAACACAGTCACCTCTATCCAGGGTTGGGATTCAAAAATTTTTTAGGAATATTCCTAACATTTTAGGAATATTAGGAACCGGGTCTCTGCCCGGTTGCTGGGTGGGCGTGGCCTACTCGGCCTCCTGCACCACGGCGGGGGGGGGGGGAGGGAATTTTCACCCTCCCCAGGCTCCGGAGGCTTTTCTTGAGCCTCTGGGTGAAAACGGCCTCCTCCGGGCTCTGGAGGGCCTCCGGAGACCGGAAACGGGCCCGTTTCCCGACTTCCAGGAGGCCTGTTTTTCGCCCTCCCAGAGCCTCCTAGCATCTGAAATGGGCCGCGTGGAGATTCCTAGGAGGGGCGGGGCAGGGTGGAACGGGCCAGCCAGTCCTTGCAACTACCGGTTCGATGAACCGGAAGTAAAATTAGCATCCGGTCCAAACCGGCTGAATCCCACCCCTGCCTCTATCCCACTGCCATCACAACTGCCCAGAGAAAGCGATGCCCCAAAGACGTGTGCCAGAGCTCAAGGTGGCATAGAAGGTACTCCCCGACTTACGACCGTAATAGGGATTTCCCATTACGGGTAATCCTCGACGTTACGACCAACAAGCGAGCCCAAAATTTCTGTGGTTAAACAAGGAAGTCGTTAAGCGAGTTTCGCCCCGTTTTACAACTTTTCTTTGCCACCGTGGTTAAGGGAGTTGTTAAATTAGTCCCATGAAAGTGGCTCCCGGGACATGTGCAACCGTCATAAATATGACCCAGTTGCCAAGCGTCTGAATTTTGATCGTGGGGATGCTTCAACTGTCGTCGGTGTGAAGAACAGTCGTAAGTCACTTTTTTTCAGGGCGGCTGTAACTTCGAACGGTCACTAAGCAAATGGCTGTAAGTTGAGGACTACCTGTACGGTCGTAAATCATGACAGGTGTAGAAGCGGGTCACCCATAGGAACCGAAACAATTTTACTATGGTTTTTACGGTGGTTGTAGAGCGAATGCCACGGTTGTGAAGTTCTCGACTTACGACTGGTATCATTGATGCCAAGAGCCATAAAAGGATCCTCATCAAGCCAGACCCAACTGAAATGATGGATTTCATTCAGGTCCTCCAAGCAAGCCCAAAAGTGTTTGGTTTTTTTTTGAGAGGCCACTGGACTTTCTGGTTTTTTTTCCTTTGAAGAGGTTTTGCTTCTCATCCAAGAAGCTTCTTCAGCTCTGACTGGATGGTGGGGAAGGGAAGGATTGATACTCCTTGCAGACAGCTGGTCGTTTGAATCCTTTTAGAGAGTCGTTGAGGCCACTTGGAGGTTTACCTGTGTCCTCAGGATCACCTGAGTGATGCAAATGGGTGTGGAGTCTTCTTGGCCACTCTTTTGAGGACAGCATTTTGGTCAGAGAGGACGGCTGGTTTGAAAGAGGGGTCAAGGAGACCATCTATGTCCAAATCGAACAGCCCTCTCTCAACAGACGGGGAGGGATACGACATCATCCATCTCCAGTCTACAACACAAGTCCTTTCAGAAGTTCCAAGAAGGCTCCACAATCATTAGCCCCACTCAGGTGACCCAGAGGACACAGGTAAACCTCCAAGTGGCCTCAATGACCCTCTAAAAAGGATGCAAATGACCAGCTGTCTGCAAGGAGTTATAAATCCTTCCATTCCCCACCATCCAATCAGAGTTGAAGAAACTCCTTGGAGGAGAAGCGAAACCAGGGGTAGGTTCTAAATTTTTTTTACTACCGGTTCTGTGGGCGTGGCTTATTTTGTGGGCGTGGTTTGATGGTCATGTGACAATTCTTTAGGATTTAGCAGAAGTACTGCTACCAGCTTTTAAGGCTTTTTTAACTGCTTTACAGAGCTGTACCAGTCTACTCATTTGTTTTTGGAGCGGTCTACCCAACGAGCGCTGGTCTACCACCACACTGCCATTTAACACTGATCAGTTGTAGGGCGGCCCTTTGAAGCCCCGCGGCAAGAGTTTAAACAGTTTTTTTCCTTCTAGCCAATCAGCTGGGACTCGGGGGCAGCGAATAGATTGTGGGTGGGGCCAAATAAAAGGTAAGAATAACGCGGGGGGGGGAGGGCCCAGCTTCTGAACAAAGATAACCGGTTCAGTGATGTCATATCATCACCGCTACCAGTTCGGCTGAACCGGGCCGAACCGGAGAACCCACCACTGAGCAAAACGTCTCCAAAGAAAAACCAGAAAGTCCAGTTGCCTTTTGAAAAAAAAGATTGAGAATCTCTGTAAGACTCCTTCCAAGCCACTTCATTCCATTCATCAGCTGAACATGGATTTGTGATCCATTATAATTGTGTTTCTGTTGCTAAATCAAATCAACTTGACTCTGAGGGGGGGAGGGGGGAAATGCTGGATTGAAGAAATTTGTAACAGGATATTCCACAGATGAGTGAACCTCTGTTCGTATCTCTGTGCTGTTACGGCGTGCTGGATTGTTTTGAAGGAGATGGGTTTGGAGTTACCTCACTGTGGACTGGTGTAGACCAGGTCCTCCCTCTTACGGTAGTTCTCCATGTGTGACTGGTTGGTGGAGAACATGGCATCGAAGGTGAAGATTTTCTGTTTGTTGGTGCCACCGTCTGTAACCTAGGGAGAGACCAGAGAAGAGAAAAAAAATTGAAATTTTTGGAGCGCTTCAGAAGAGGTCAAAGGACAGAAGGAGAAGTTCATGAGATTTTCACCACCTCTCCTGGTTGATGGTTGAACATCTCGTACATTTACACATTGACACCAGCGGTGAAATCCGCTGCTACCGGTTCTGTGAGTCTACTACCGGGCGCGCACTTCACGCGCATGCGTGCCTGAGGCGTCCCCGCGCGGGTGCTACAAAAGGAACATTTTGACTTGGTGCCTTCCAAGTCTGCAAAGGTAAGTAGAACAGCAAGGGGAGGGGGATCCGCTGTGCCACACGATTTAGATTAGTTAGAAAGCAGGAAATCTGATGATTCTAGCTAATATAAACTGCGTGTCACAGCTGATTGTTGGAAATCAACCGGTTCGCCCGATTCGCTAGCATTTTTTGCTACCGGATCACCCGAACTGGTGCGAAACGGTAGCATTTCATCCCTGATTGACACCACCTCCTATTAGACATCGAACTCAACTGGTTGTTGAGAGTGTAGATTGCAACTTCCGCAAATTCCATCATCCCAACCAGTATCTTTGCTGGCTGAACTGGGGAAAGAAAAGACTAGATTGCCTGAATCCCCTTTCAGGCATGACACTCATCCCACTGTAAAAAGAACAAGGTCCATTCCCAGAAGGCCTTTAACTACCGTAAATAAATAAATTTAACTAAAGTTCACGCATCGCACCTAACCAGGACCTTACTTGAACCTGCTTGTCGCAATTTCCAGAAACAATAAATGAACGAGCTGTCTTTATTTCACTGAAGATCACCAGCTGAAATCACGATTTCGTATCTGCTTTTTCGATGCAATAATACGGTGTTCAAACAAGTAGATTTGGCCACGAGACAATTATGCAGCTTCCTTCGCAATTATACGCTGATTTGCCCAGACTCCCACTTGCAAACACTTAGTTCTACTACCATTTTCCCCTGAAATAATTTTGAAATGTTTTTTTCACCTCTCACCCTTTCGTATTTCTCTTAACTTGCTTTGCATCTGCTTCTTTGCAGCTAAGTAATGTTTAAAAATAAACGCGTATGAAATGTGAATGGGGGGGAAAGGGGGAGGAGAGGAAAGAGAAGAGAAAGAAAGAAAGAAAGAAAGAAAGAAAAGAAAGAAAGAAAAGAAAGAAGGAAGGAAGGAAGGAAGGAAGGGAAGGAAGGAAGGAAGGAAGGAAGGAAGGAAGGAAGGAAGGAAGGAAGGAAAGATAATTAGATGTGTGAGATAATAGATTTGTGAGAGATGACAGACAGAAAGAAAGACAGACAGATGTTTGAGAAAAATCATGGATGGATGCTGGATGGATAGATATAGATAATTACATGCATGTGTGACAGAGATTAGATAGATAGATAGATAGATAGATAGATAGATAGATAGATAGATAGATAGATAGCAGACAGACAGACAGAGATAGAATGTCTGAGAAAAATGATGGCTGGATGGTGGATGGATATAGATAATTACATGCATGTGTGACAGAGATTAGATAGATAGATAGATAGATAGATAGATAGATAGATAGATAGATAGATAGATAGATAGATAGATAGCAGACAGACAGACAGAGATAGATGTCTGAGAAAAATGATGGCTGGATGGTGGATGGATATAGATAATTACATGTGTGTGACAGAGATTAGATCGATCGATAGATAGATAGATAGACAGACAGACAGACAGATGTCTGAGAAAAATGATAGATGGATGGTGGATGGATATAGATAATTACATGTGTGTGACAGAGATTAGATAGATCGATAGATCGATAGATCAATAGATCGATCGATAGATAGACAGACAGATAGACAGACAGACAGACAGAGATGTCTGAGAAAAATGATAGATGGATGGTGGATGATATAGATAATTACATGTGTGTGACAGAGATTAGATCGATCGAACGATGATAGATACATAGATAAGATAGACAGACAGATGTCAGAGGGAGATGACAGACAGATGGACAAGTTGAATGGATGGATAGATAGGTGGATGGATGGATGGAAGAAAACAGAGTTATCTTCTCCAATAAAAACAAAGAAAGGCAAGTAAGAGCATCCTAGGGCAACAGGGAGCTACTACATCGGTCTCCAGTAAAGGGCTGGGCCAGACTCAACACGGCTGCCATTTTGTAAGACCTCAAAGCATGTCCTTCAGACGTCATATGGTCCATCCTGCTTGCTCGCTGGCCCCGAAGGGGAGGCCAGGAAAAGGACGGAGAGCGAGAAAGGCGAAGATTCTTCAGACCAGCAGAATCAAGAGCTCTGCCTTTCTCTTCCGCCTCAGCTACTCTCAAGTTACACCTCGTTGTTTCCAAGATAATAGGTGACAAGGCGCGAACCTGCTAATGAAATAACATACCTGCCGGCAGTGTCAAAATGTCTTTTCCGAGGGAAATGTGAAAACGCAGAGGGTGCTAATAAGCTCCCCCCAAAGGAAATGTCTAGGGAATAAATAAATAAATAAATATGTGGGGAGATGGGGAGGGCACACGGGCACGTGGGGGGCGGGCAAGGGGGCAGGAATTGGGAGAGTAGAAGAATTCCTTGCCCTGCACCGTCACCAGCCCTGTCGATGCTGAAGGTGTTAGGGAGACGAAGAGCTAAGCCCCTGCATTCACGTAACACGAATAAACCATAGTTTCGTAAACACGGTTAGCTCGCTAAAATCTCAATTGGCTGCAGTGGCGCCACAGGCTAAGCCATCATCTTTGGCATCTTTAAAGGATGACAAGGAATCTTTGGAGTTTGGCTGTTTTATAACTGAACCAGGTAACATCACCAGTGCTATTTAGCACCAACTAGCACTGATGACGTTACCTAGTTGGGTAATAAAACGTTCTGCCAGAAAACAACCCAGCTCAGAGAGCACCAAGGACCCCTCGTTTCAACTCTGAGCTACAAATATTCTCCTTTATTGATAAAGATAAAAGATTAATTTCTTTTGCATAACCTTAATAGGGAATCTATTGATTGAGCAAAGAGAGTAATGGCTAATCTTTTTGCCGTTGCGTGCCAAAAGCGAGGGGAGCATGGGGGGTGGGTGTCACGTGCATGTGTGCCCACACCCATAATTCAATGCCCCCCATGCCCCAGCCACCCTCGTGCATGTGCGCGCAACCCCTCCGTGCTCTCCCCACTTTTGGCACACAATGGCAAAAAAGTTACTGGTGGGCCCAGAAGACTGTTTTTCGCCCTCCCCAGGCTCCAGGGGTTTTCTTGGAGCCTGGGGAGGGCAAAAACAGCCTCCCCAACTCCCTGGAGGCCCTCAGGAGGCTGGAAATGGCCCGTTTCCCAACTTCCGGTGGGCCCGGAAGGCCCAAAAATCAGCTGACCGGTGCGCGCATGCACGCTGGAGCTGAGCTAGAGCAACGCTTGTGTGCCCACAGAATATGGCCCCATGTGCCACCTGTGGCACTCGTGCCATAGGTTCGCCATCACTGACATAAGATGACGTAGTGACCCATGGTTTTGCTGATCGTGGTTTGACATTGACACCGATCCCGCAAGCCACTTTGGGCCCAGCTGCTGCGAATGGGCAAATAAACGGATGGAAATGGAGGTAAGTCCTCATTTAGCGGCCACAACTGGGACCTGCGACCTGGTTGTTAAGCAAAGCAGTCGTTAAAGGAAACCGCAGCTGTAAATTATGATCGTACAGACCTGCAAAGCGGTGGTGGTTTCAAATTTTTTTAATACCAGTTCTATGGGTGTGGCTTGGTGGGGTGGCGTGGCTTGGTGGGCGTGGCAGGGAAGGATACTGTAAAAATCTCCATTCCCTCCCACTCCAGGGGAAGGATACTGCAAAATCCCCATTTCCTCCCGATCAGGAGGCAGAGAATAGATGGGGCCGGGGCCAGTCAGAATTTTTACTACCGGTTCTCCGAACTACTCAAAATTTCCGCTACCGGTTCTGCAGAACTGGTCAGAACCTGCTGAAACCCCACCTCCGCTGCAAAAGTCATCAAACTGCAAGGACGGCCCGTAAACCTTTCTCACCTGTGTCGTTAACTGCAAACGGTCCCTAAACGAGGCAGTTGCTGAACGAGGACTACCGCCCGTAGTAAATTCTACCCCGGTATTTCCCGCCCCTCCGGGTGGAAAAAAATAAAAGAGAACTTCCCCCAAATGAAACACTTTGCATCTGTTTTGATAAAAAAGGAACCCATGGAAAAAAAATCTTTCCCATCCATCCTTGGGGGTAACCGGTCGGGATGACCTCTGACCTCACTTTATGATTTATTTTCTTGGGGCCAAGAGCGGGTCAAACTTGAAACGGGGGCGAGATGAGATGAAAGCAGAGAGCGGCCCTTCAGAAGAACTTCTGCACACACCTCCACTCAGCACAGCTCTGGTTTTTTAAAATGCACCCCGCGTTGTCCTAGAATGAAATTTCATTCTGGTTTCTTTCCCCCTCCTCCATTTTATTACATGGGAAAAGGGCTGTGGGAGAAAGTGGAGGAGGGGGAGGGGGCAGCTGTCAGTAAAACTGTCTCTGCAAATTTATTTGCCTAAGCCAAGGTTTTATTACAAAGAAAATACACACTCTCCGGGAAAAAAAAAATACATACAAGGAAAAACACACACACACACACACACAGAGAAGGAATTATCTGGGTTGTAAATTACACACACTTTGGAGTGGAACACAACACTGCAAGTTTTCAAGGACACAATTGATCGTTCAGGGATCCCACTGTTGATTTTGGGGCGGCTATTATTGTCAGGTTTCGATGTCGTCTCAATTAAAATAAATTGCATTTCCAAACAAATAGTCTTTGATGAAATCTTTCATTTATTTAGCACGACAATCTGTCCCCGATTATGGCGTAGCCAACACTGACTTCCTGACCCCAAACCTTCCCTTTCCGTTCCCCAATTCTCTGCGTCTCATTGGCCATCTTACAAATCACTCTCCACATATCTACTACTTCAGCTCCCAGGAATGTCCCCC